TGGGTGAACAGGGAGCAGAGGGTGAACAGGTAACATTCAGGATGATGACAGATTTTTATCTAAAAGCATAACAAGACTTTGACCTCTTTGGGACATGAGTTTAACTGCATATTATTGTTCATTCCTTCACAAAAATGTCAAGCTTGTAGATTCAATCAATTTTTTGGGTGAACAAGGTGCACAGGGCAAACGGGTACAATCCTAGATGACAGCATATATTTTGGCAGAAGCATAACAAGGTGATCTTGACCCCTTTTTTGAACACCGATTCAACTGTACACACACTAACACAGATGTCCAGCTGTGAATTCTCACTTTTTGGGCGAACAGGGCACACAAGGTGAAAAGGTAACATTCAAAATGATAACTAATATTTTGCCAAAAAGTTTTTATGGCCTTTTTTGGATACCACTTCAACTTTATATCACTATACTTTCTATAACACACACATCTGCCTCTAAATTCACACTACGTTCTGGGTGAACGGTGCATAAGACGGTAACCTATTTTGCTAAAAATGTATAAATTTAACACCAATTCAACTGCATACAACTATTCACTGCTCCACACAAAAATTTGGCAGAACGATTCAATGTACTTTTTGGGTGAACAGTGTGCACAAGGCAAATGGATACAGTTCTATTTATTATAATATATTTCACCAAAAGCATAAGGTGATTTTGACCTCTTCTGGACACCAATTTAAATATACATTTAATAACACAAAAGCCTGGCTCTAAATTTTCACTACTTTTTGGGTGAACAAGGCACATAGGGTGAAAAGGTAACATTCAAAATGATAACTAATATTTTGCTAAAGCTTACCAAGGTGATTATGGCCTCTTTTGGACACCAAGCCAACTACATATCACTGCATACTCCTAAACACAAACGCCTGTTTCTAAATTTACAGAACTTTAATGGGTGAACAGGGCACACATGGTGAAAAGGTAAATGCATAACAAGGTGATTTATCCCTCATTTCTCATTTTGGTCAGTTTAACTGCTCAAGTACTGGACAGAAAAAAAGTGCTCGAGCACACGAGGTGGGCTATTGTTAATTTCTGGTCTGTGTATGCATGCGTCAGATGGACATCTTTGGCTGTTGCATTGTGTTTCAGGTTTTTCAGAAACGCACAACAAAGGTGTCATGTTTTTAAAAAGGTTTCTGTTGCTTTTGGATGCACAATGACTAGCTTAAACACAAAAACGTGTCCAGTCAGTATAAATGCCCCTTAATCCTCCCCCAAAAAGCAAGAGACCATATGAATAGTTCGTGTCCGAACTCTAACAATCTCTACATATTGCTAATGTAACCAATCACAATATTAAATCAATTAAGGATCTTGCTTTACATTCATGGCACTTACTGGATGAACAGGGCACACAAGGTGAACAGGCAACAATCAAGACAATAGCAAATATTTTCTCAAAAGCATAACAAGATGCCTCTGACCTAGTTTGGACACCATTTCAGCTGCATATCACAGTACTGGTTGTACTTCTTAACACATAAGGTCATGTTCGAGATTCACTGTGCGTATTGGGTGAACAGGGTACATATGGTGAACAGGTAGCATTCACAATGACATGCAAAAATATAACAAACTGATTTTGATCTCCATCAGACACCATTTCAACTGCATTTCAGTGTACTAGTTTAATTTCGTAAACGAAAATGGCAATTATTGGTTGAACAGAGAGCACAATCATCTACTAGGCAAAAAATCATTAAATAAAAGTCAACTCATTGTCTGTAACGAATGCGGTGCTGCAAAATGAAGTGATGCTCAGGTGAAAGAGGGATGGGGGCGCGCAGGTGAGAATCCTCCTGTGGTGATGCAGATGAGCTTGTACGAACAGGAGCTCGTGGATCATTCCTTACCGCAGCGCCTCTCGCGCACGAACATTAATATTCGGCGTGACAGAAACAGGCCGGCGGCACAGGAAACCAGGACGCCTAACAATACACCGCATGAGTGTTTAAAAATATATATAAATAAAATAACAACAGCTGAACAATCGCAAAGGTCAAAAAGAACCCCAGTGCGAGACTATGCATCATGTCAGCGCTTTACAAGAAAAATTAAGTTCACGTACAAGAAACAGGTTATAAAAAATATATTGTTGGGCTGCTGAAAATCGGAATAATTAAAGATATGGACTGCAAATGCAAAACATTGCAGATTATAATATCGGTGATATCACTGACGTGACCTTGAGTTGGACACAAAGAGGACCAACTGTCACTGTAATTGATCTAAATCGGAAATGATAAAAAGCATTTGGTAACTAAACTTCATAATTTCATGCCAAAGACATAAGATGGAAAAAAGGACAATGTGAAAATAAGAAAGCAGCCCAAAACCAAACATATTTTACTAAAAAATATTTATAATTATTCATGTAGCAAATGCTTAAGCAACCTGAAGTAAAAAAAAAAATCTCACTAGGTTTGATGTGCAATAAATGCAGTCTAGGAAAGGAGCTCACCTTTTTTTCAGGTTTGTATGACACCAAAAAAAAAAAGCTGTCTAGAATAGATAGGCAGCTCATGAGATGTTTTGCCTAAAACTACAGCCAAGGTAGGCATCTCACGAAGTATGACACCAAAAAATGCAATTTAGGAAATGTGGATGATCAATAGCAGCCTAAAATCAGATACATTTTACTATAAAAATATTCACAATTATTAATTCAGTAATGTAGAAATAAAGGGGAAAAAAAGGCAAAACATTTCGATCGTAGGTGTGATATTGGCACACAACGATCTAGAAATTTCCAGCCAATACCGATAATTTAATTAGTATATCTTTATTTATTTTTTTATTCTCAAATACTTTAAATCTATACTGTTTAGTTTACTTTTTTAAATAAGTGTTCAAGATTGAAACATCAATCTTAAAATTAGGAATCATTTAAAATACCATTGTACCAGACTATTCCTGTAGTTCATAGTATGTATATTGCATATAGTATGCAAATTTTTTGTATGATTGAATACCTGTATCATCTGATAAATTTGCGCAAAAACAAAGTATAAAACAAAACACACCAAACTGATACTGTGTTCAACATGGTTGAATTTCCCAGCAAGAGAACTACCAAAAAATAAATAAATAAATAAATAAATTTTTTGATTGATAATAAGGTTGCATGTTTATTGTTACATAATGAGTGCAGTGTTTGTGTAAAATATTCAAGCACAAAGTAAAACAAGTTCAAAGTTGTAAATAAAAGATTATTGAAGTAGGTTTTATAAAACAAAAATTACTATTTCAGTCTTCCTACTTCAAAATTTCAAGATTAGTTCAACGTTTCTTTGTAACTGATTGTGAAATTTACTAAAAAATTTAGTTAAACATCAATTTTCCAGTGTATATACTGTGCAGTATGTAACGATTATAATGTAAAAAAAGATTTTAAAAAATAAGTTTGAAATCTGCTATAGAAAACTGAAAAAATATGTCTCTAAATCAATGTATTTCAGTGTATATACTGTGCAGTATGTAGCCATTATAATATGGAGCAAAAAATATTAATAACTGCTCAGTATGAAATCTGCCATATAAACCTGGAGAAAAGGTCTAATATCAGGTTTTAAAAACAACAATATGGTTACCGATATATTGCCATTCCAAAGCAAAACCTCAAAAAGGGTGTAAATAAACAAGTTCATTAAGTGTCAAACGTAAATATAACACTTGATACCAGAACAAAAACACACTTATTGTCTTTACAGGTCTCCTCCTGGTGGTTTAATCACCTGCACAGGCCCTTATGAATGAAGCCTGGAGCTTCATCAACCTACAAAGATCAACCCTAAAGCTACAAAAACACATCAGTTCTGCAGCTAGATGAAATAATAATAAATAAAGCACATGAAAGCATGAACATATCTGTGATTTATACACCTGCATGTTTATTTACTCTTCATGTGTCTGATCTCTCCTTGGCCCTGATATGCAAGATCATTTATCACATTTACTTCAAATATATGAAAAGCAAAACACACAGACTGTTTATAAAACACACTTTGGGACTAAAAAGACATGTTGTCAGTCATCTGAGGCTGATGTTTGGTTTAAAATCATTATGAAGACTAAAACACTGTGGTGTGCTAACACACATGGTAAAGCTAAATGAGTTTAAACACATACAACCTTTCCAGATCACTCTAATTGACAGGAATTACACCAAAAAATCGTGATATTTAAGGGTTACGGGTGTTAATATGCTGTAAGCTTACCTGTAGGATAGACAGACGTATAAATATTTGGAGGAATGAAGAGAAATAATGAGTCTAATGGCTGCTAAAGGCTGAAGTCAAAGCTGTCGGTCTGTCAGCGGCATTGAAGACAAACCACTTAAACACCTGGAAGGGAAAATAAAAATGCCGGCGGTGAAATAGCAATATTATACCTACAGAGGGCGCAGCGTGGCTCAATAATTCAACAACAATTACTTAAAATAAATTTTAATGGCTATAAAAAAATTATTAAAAACATTTGATTTATAGCCATTTTAAATAGAGTTGTTGTTCATTAAAAGGCTTTCAAGAATTCGAAGATCTTTAAAATTATTTTAAATAAAAACAAAAATAATGTAATAATCGAATTATTGTAGAATAAAAGTATAATATTCTTATGATTTTTATTTAATTAATAAGTAAAACACTAAACTTTAAAATGGAATTAACTTAAATGTAATTGAAATTTACTTATTAAAAAACAAAATAAGCAAATAATATGTCTAATTAAATTATAACACATCTATGTATGTACACATTTATGTAAATGTAACTAATTCATAAACTAAATATTAATAATAGCAACAAAAAAAATGTTTTATACAATTAATAGCTTATAGCTTAAATAATAGCTTATTGTAAGTATAAACTTTTTCTTTTGGATTTTTGTGGCAAAGATATTTTTGTCACGTGACACTATCGTACCGGAAGTAGTGCTCTGTTTCAACTCTTCTTCGCTCTAGGTTTTGTTTACATTTCTAAGATCTACACAAGGGTGAAAGAAACCCAGTGAGTGGCATTTGCTCTTACATCTTACTATATTTGATTAAAAATACACTTTTGATTGTTTTATAAATATGAGAACACCGAGGCACCGTAACTTATATAATAAACACATCTGAAGATACCGAACACCCTTAATTAAGCGTCTATTTTTACCCTCCCGTTAGTATGCAGTGAAATCTCTTATACGTCAATATATTGTCAATAACATAAAACTAACATACATTATTTTATGACTGCAGATACATATTTTCATTTCTAACAAATAGCCACTCGTCGCGCGGATATGACGCACGGTGCGTTCTCTGACGCCACTGACTGTATTGCCGCGAAATGTCAAATCATGGCAGCAGGATTTCAGAAATGATCGTCTCTTGGTGAGTGTGAATGCAGCGTTATAATATGATGCATGCATAATTTATTTAACTGCAAACCACAATGCATCTCATTTACTAATGAATCTTTTTGAATGTATTTCTAATATACAGAGTATGAAAACCATGAGAAGTCAAGGCAGATCTGGCCCAACTAAAATTCAAAAAGTGAAAAAGCATAATAGGACCCCTTTAAGAGTGATCAGAGAAATCTCAATTCTATTCAGGTTTTTTTGCACAGTTTACAACAACTAACTCAATTATACAACAAATAAGGCAAAACAAGAAACTACTGAGTAGAACTGATAACAACATAAACTGTTTTTAAACTTTTGTTTTAACATTTTAATTAATTTTAAATAAAAATGAATTTTTCCTGAATTTTAAACTTTCGATAACAAAAATAACAATTAAATGCAATGTTACAACTTCAAATAAACAGAACTTATCTAACAAATTGTTTTATTTTAAACTTTTGTTTATTTTAATTTTATTTTTTAAATGTTAAACTTTTGATCCAAATGACAAGTAAATGAAATGTAAAGATGATCAAATAAGCAGAATTTATTTAATAACAAATAAACTTTTTTTTTTAAATTTGTTTTTAAACTCTTTATACAGCATTTTAATTTATTTTTTATTTTTAAACTCCCAAGTAGATGAAATGTTAAGATCAAATGAGCAGAAGCTATATAACAACAAAAAATGTAGTTTTTAAATTTTTGTTTTAAAAATGTCATTTTATTTTTATTTCTTTCAACATGTTAAACTTTTGATACAAATATGAAATAAATGAAATGTTAAGATGGATAAAAGAAATCCGAAATGCACACATGTATACATTAATGTAACATTTTTCCATGCTTCAAATAATTGAGAAATCTAAAATAAAAAGTAAAAAAAAGAAATAAACATGTTTAAAAATTTTGGTAATTCCTACAATTACCAATAATCTCAAAACCTTAGCAGCATTTTTATTTTTTATGAATCTTAAGGAACTAATACTGAACTCTAGTTCACACAAAGAAATTTTAAAAAGACATTAGATCTTGATCAATTTGACTTCATGTACAAAGAATTTCAGAAGAAATAATATATAGTTTACGATATAATCACGGTTTGTATTCTCCAAAATACTTCACAATAAAACGTGCATACATAATAAAATGCATTTTTAACACTTCCTTGACAGATTTATTTACGACAGGACCTGAAAAGACAAGATGAACTAATAACATTAGTTATTGCATGTTGTGTCTAGGAACTGAACACTATTCACTCTTCATATATCTTTCTATCTCTTAACCTGTGCCTGATTTAAGCAGGTGCGAATCTAATTTACTGCAGTTCTGTCAGTCAATGTTCTGGGTCAGACGGGTCAGTTCATCCACGCTGCCGAGGGTCCCGGATCGATGGCAGGACACACACAGTTCTGTTTGGTGCAGACAGGGTCACTCACTTAATTAGGCAGACATTCAGCGGGACAGATATTACAGAATCCCAAAGGAGTCACAGTGGATGATGGGATGGATGTAGTTACAGATGTCAGATTTTTTGGTTCAATAGCTTTATTTAAGGGAGAGAACAAAAACAGCCAATTACTGACAGGTTTATTATAATTCATTAAAACAAAAAAACAAAAAAAATGTTACTTATAAAATGAATGTTAAGTGAAATAAAAAAGCCAACATTTCTTCTAGTTTGAACTGATGTAGTAAAATAACTAATTAAAACAAAAGACATAAAATGTAGTTACTTATGTAATTACAAAATATATATTATGAATATTTATAAACTTTAGAAATATTTAAATATATTTTGTGTATTTGGGAATTTTGAACTAAAATAAGTTAAAACTGAAATAAAAATACTATATAAAACTACAAAACAAAAACTAATACAAATGGCAAAAACACACAACGAAATGACTAAAGCTTGCAATGAAGTATAAAAAATAAAAACGAATTCATAATAACAGTATCTCAGTTATACAAAAATAAAAATGTATTTACATTTTAATAGTGCACTTAGTATTTTTTTAGTATAAAAATATTTATCAAATGATAAGCAAAACTCATATGTATTATATTGTATTATATATTGGCATTTTTAAGTATGCACTTATCGTCTGGTTTCATGTATTTCTACAACCAAAAACAGATATTTTGTAAGCCAACACGACTTTTATCGAATGCTTTATTAAATGAACAATTTCAATTTTCTAAATATTTATTTACTATTTTTAAAATATAAAAATATTTATTATATTTATGAGCAAAGCTGATAAGTATTATATTGTGCCTTTTTATAAACAAAAACGTTTTTGTTGTGTATTTTATTTCACACATTTTATGTATTTTTGCATCCACAAACAGGCAGATGTTTTGTTTTCTTTAAGCTGTCATAAATAATGCGACTTTTATCGAACGAACAGCTCTAGAAGACACTCAAACACAATTTCACACTTTCCACACTGATGGATTTGGCGTAATGTGTTTGCTGCTGGCCTCTTGACATGGATGCTAAGGGTCAGTGCTCAGTTTGAGCTGCCTTAAGTTAAGCAAACCCTAATAATTGTAAGGGTATTAGTACTAAGGCCTTTCTTCCTTCAAGCGGTCTGGTGCATCTGGCTGCAGAATAAACCAGCTTTTATTGACTGTAATCAAGTCTGACTGTATTCAGTGAGCCGACACTAATGTCCTCTTTTAACTAGACAGGTAGTGTTTCGTAGTGTGCCAGCTGCTGTTAGAAAACTCTCTTCAATTAATGCATATTGTCTTCTTCACTTTCATTCTCTTCATCCAGTATTAGATTGTTTGATGACCTGAAAACGTGTAGAGTGCTGTGAAAAGATTTTTGTCCCCTTCCTGTTTTTCATATTTGTCACACTTAAAAGATTTAGATCATCAAACAAATTTTAATATTACAGAAAGATAACCCGAGTAAATACAAAATGCAGTTTTGAAATTATGATTTCATTTATTAAGGGAAAAAACCTGTCCAAACCTGTCTGGCACTACGTGAAAAAGTAATTGCCCCCTAAATCTAATAACTGGTTGGGCCACTCTTTGCAGCAACAACTGCAGTCAAGCGTTTGCGATAACTGGCAATGAGTCTTTCACATCGCTGTGGAGGAATTTTGGCCCACTCTTCTTTGCTGAATTGTTTTAATTCAGTCACATTGGAGGGTTTTCGAGCATGAATGGACTGTTTAAGGTCATGCCACAGCATCTCAATCGGATTCAAGTCCGGACTTTGACTTGGCCACTCCAAAACCTTAATTTTGTTTTTCTTGAGCCATTCAGAGGTGGACTTGCTGGTGTGTTTGGGATCATTGTCCTGCTGCATAACCCAAGAGCGCTTGAGCTTGATCTCTCTCTCTCTCTCTCTCTCTCTGTGTGTGTGTGTGTGTGTGTGTGTGTGCGCGAGTGATGTGTGTTGGTTAGTGTGCATCAATTAAAGCAGCGCATTAATATGGAACGGTGATTAAACTGACTTGGAACTACCTGTGCATTAAACGTTAAAGTTTGTTTGATGATCTGAATCTTTTAAGTGTGACAAATATGCAAAAAATATAAAATAAAACAGGAAGGGGGCAAAAACCTTTTCACGGCACTGTAACTGAGTACCGTATCCCATGTTGCAACATGTTCAACTTGGCCTTCCATTTGCAGTGTGACATTTTTACATAAAATTAGCCTAAATAAAAAGGCATAAACTTTTTTTAAACATTCATAATGATGTGATGTGACAATGTTGGCATGTTATAGTTTTGAAAAAAAATTTGTGCAATGCGTACCATTTCACATTATTTTCAGATTTGAACAGAACATATTGCTTTTTTTTGGGAGAAATCAAATTATTTTTATATATAAAGTGATATGCACAACCTATTTTTATTATTTTTTGTGCATTTTGACACAATAACAATGATTATTAGAATATAATGTTAGACATGACCTATATTATATCATGATTGTATTGCATGTTTAATATCTTCTCAATTAAATTTTCAGTTTTCATCTCTTAATTATCTAATTAATTTGAATGCAATTTTGTATAAAAATGTCAAAAAAGGAGATAAGTGGTTGATATTGTTACTGGAAGTCAATGGATGATCAAGTATGATCTGCATGCTATTTTGTTTGTACACTACAGTTTAAACGTTTGGGATCTGTAAGTTTCCAAGACGGCGTTTAATTGATCCAAAAAATAAATAAATTAATTAACAAATAAAATAATATTATCAATATATTATTCATATAAATATAATAGTAATATTATGAAATATTTTCCCAATATTTTTCCTATTTAAAATAAAAAATGTTTTCCATTTTAATATATTTTAAAATGTAATTTATTCCTATGATGCGATGCTGAATTTTCAGCATTACTCCAGTCTTCAGTGTTACATGATCCTTCAGAAATCATTTTAATATGTTGATTTGCTGCTCAAGAAACATTTATTACAAATCTTAAAAACGGTTGCGCTGTTTTTTTTTTGTGAAATCCATGATACTTTTGAACATTTGTCAAAGAATCCTAAAAAAAATTGAATAAATCCTAAATATAACTATTAATTTCTTTAAAATATATTTTGCTGACCCCAAGCTTTTGAACACTATTATATACCATTCTAAACAAACTCTAAATTTCACTTTCCACAGAGATTAATTTGAATGCAGTGTCTCTGTTCAGTGTCCTGTGTTCTCTGTTGGATCTAGATACTCTTGATAACAAAAGCAGTTTAGAAGTTACTACGTCAAGCCGACACGCATCTAAAATGCCGCATCAGTCACCTCTATGAAGCTATCACTTTTATCCGAACGGGCGCGTGGTTCGTCCTTTGTTTTTTGTTCTTGAATCTAATTTAGCGATTAATTTCCCCTTGTGTAACGCTTTGATCCCACTAATCAGTTAGTATGCGGATTACGGCTCCAGATAATTGCTCTCTAATTAAATATGTAATCTCCACTCCAGCCAATAACCCGAGCAATCCTCGTCTGTAATTACTTTATCCGTACAGAGACTCTCCACCTACCGTCTAATGAACCGGGACAGGCGTCCACATGGCTGTGTGTCATCTCCAATGACTAGCCACGTTTCATTTAATGTTTTTTGCCATGGGAAATGAAGGTGGTTAGTTACTGTTTACTTTTCATATTAGGCTTGACAGACTTAAGAGAAAATCTCATTAACGTGGACTGTTTTAGATCAGCGTCGATGCTAGAACAGTAAATTAACCAGCGGAAATTTGCTAGGGTTTTTTAAACGTTGACTTAACATATTGAGCATTTTATTTACTCGCTTTTCAGTAATTTCAACATTTAATGTCAGATCATACCTTGTTTTCTTTCTCCACAGTAATTATTGAAATATACTTTCATTTAGAAAGTACATTTTCATTTAGAAATTCAGAAATTGAATTGGTTGCAAGTTGGTTTGCGTGCAAATTGTGTATAAACAAGCCGGTTTTTCATGTTGTTTTCAGTGTCAGGTTGTTTATCTGAACAAGATGTGTCAGTATTATTAGAAAGGTATTTTAGGGGGTGTATGAACAACAGGTTTCAAATAGAAAACTCTGCGTTTTGGCAGTTCATTTACATGACATCGGCATTTTGGGGGCCTGAAAAGTTTTATAAAATTACATGGTTATCATCTCTGTGAAAACTATAAAAAAAAGCTAATTTCTGAAAACGGTGATGTCACACGCGTGCATATTACACGTTCATGTAGTGTTTCTTTACAAAATGACATCTCCACCTACTGGCCTGGCGTGCATAATACAGAGTTTTTAGTAATTTTTGTGGATCCGTGTGAACGGGCTATTTTGACAATGTTGTCATCTGTATGCAAAAATTTTCAAAAATGCAAAGGAAAAACTATGCCATTTTTAGTATGTCTCATTAACACGTACGGTTCTAGAGCAGTGTCGATGCTAAATCAATAAATGAGTGGACATTTGTTAGGGTTTATTTAACATTGACACGATTTTGTGAAAGCGATGACATACGCATGTTTTTATGTGTTCTGTCTATAGATATGTTCGTAGGTGAGTAGTGTTTCTTTACAAAGTGACATCAGCAACTACTGGCCTGGCATGAATATTACAGCATTTTTAGTTGCTTTCGCAGTTCCATGTGAACGGGAATCGTTGTTGACAAAAACGCAAAGGAAAAACATTTCCGTGTTTAGTACATCTTTGCAATGTAAACGTACGTAATGTAAATTCAAAGTAACCACAGTTTCCTCTAAAATACCTTAGTCGGATATTGTTATTACTGTAAAATTGTAGTAAATTAATTTGGGATCTCATTCAAACAAAATTCAGAATAGGCTTGATAGACTTAACAGTTGAAATCTCATTAACATACTGTTTTACGCCCCATTCACACGGGGCGTCGGCGTCAACGCCTCTTGTTTACTTTGAATGGAGTGACGTCAAGCATTGCCGAACTGAATTGTGGGTCCGTTGCATTGCGTTGGGTCAGTTGCTCGCAGCAGAAGTTGAAAACTTTTCAACTTTTCAAGCACCAACGCAGGCGTCAGCCAATCAGATCGCCTTATGCAAATACCCTGGTGCAGACGCTAGCCAATCGCGATCATGCAACACCAGAAAACGAATGTGATTGGCTGTTGTCACTACGGTCGCATCAGCGCCAAGCTTCAGAAACGCCTTCCATCAAGCGTCGACACTGACGCCCCGTGTGAATGTAACCTTAGAGCAGCGTTGATGCTAAATCATTAAATTAACGAGTGGAAATTTGCTAGCGTTTATTTAACATTGACTAAACGTTGCCACATTCGTTTTGAGCATTTTATTAGTTTGTTTTTCACCAATTGTGAGGTTTAATGTCAGATCATACCTCGTTATCTTCCTCCACACAAATTACTGGAACACCTTGTTTCATTCATAAATTTGGAAGAAAAATTGGTTGCAAGTTGGTTTGCGTGCAAATTGTGAACAAACTGTTTTACAATGTTGTTTTCAGTGTCAGGTTGTTAATCCCAAAGAGATGTTACTATTCATAAGGAAAGTATTTGAAATACCTTGTCGTCACAGTGGTTAGTTAGCACAAGTGCTCTTGACTCATTGAACTGTGGTGCTCAAACAATTGTTGCGGATTGTTAACGTTGACGTAATTGGCACATTCTTTTTTGCCACTTCATTTATTCATTCTATGCAAATGTCGAAGTTTAATGTCAGATCATACCTTGTTATCTTCCTCCACACCAATTATTGGAACATCCTTGCCTCATTGTGAGTAAAATCGGCTGTTTTCAGTCTCAGGTTGTCTCCATCTTTGATGTTGCAACACTACAGATATGTCGTACACGGTGGAGTACAGTTACAGCCACATGAAATACCTCAGCAAACCGTGACAGGAAGTATTTAGTGGTGTTTGTGTTCGTTTACGTGTTTGGAGAGTCTGTTTCGTTTAATCGCGTGAATCTTTACTTTGCGGTTGGAGTAGATATGCCTCTCATGTAATAGAATACAACCACTCTGTGTTTTCTAAACCATCGATTTCCGTTTTCTCTCTCTCTTTATCTCCCACCTCTCTCTCTCTCTCTCTCTGCAATTCAATAATCTCCCTGAAGCAGAATTGCTTTTTTTTTTTTTTTTACAGCACAGCCAAACCACACACTGAGACACGATACTTGCTCAGATGATGCAGTGTTTTAAGCTGCACTGTGCTACTTATAGCGAGATTTCATCAGCGGCTTGTTACCAGTCGAGAAGATAGATATCCACGGTTGCTTTCATATCTCGAAAGCACAAAAGGTGAACGGCAGCCATTACTTGATAAAATCTTACTTGAGTCTTGAAGTATTAGATTTAATGCTGCAGATTACGAAAGATTACTATAACCACAGTTTCCTATAAAATAACTTAGTCGGTTATTGTTACTACTGTAAAATCACAGTAAATTAATTTGGGATCTCATTCAAACAGCTTTTTTTCTCATTTCTGATTGATTTTCTAAGCAATTATACTTAGATTTTTATCTGGTAAAATGAACAAAAAAGATCTAAACATTATAAAAACTTAGAGTTGAGCTCTTTTGATCAAAACAAGCACTTAGCAGCCACCCAAAACACCTTAGCAACCATTCTGGGACTAAGAAATGTAAGAAAAACAAAAACAAATTCAATGTAATTTTTTTTGTTTGTTTACAATGGTGGCTAATGCTAAGTTTTACCACAGTTTTACCGTAATAACATTAAGGTAAAAAGGTATTCATAAAAGTACAACGGAATTAAAAAAATCTGAATTGGCTTGACAACCCCATAACAACATGTTAGCATTGTTTTCTGACTAACTTGTTTCTTAAGAAATGAAAAAAGTTCAATGTTGTTTGCTTTTTACTTTGGTGGCTAATGCTAAGTTTTACCACAGTTTTACTGTAATAACGTTAAGGTAAAGGTATTCATAAAAGTAAAAACAAATGATTCCAGTAGTATAACACTGAGCATTTTTGATCGAAACAAGCACCTAGCAACCATGCAAAACACCCTAGCAACCATTCAAAACACCTTTGCAAAAGCATAGAAACATGTAAACATTATTTTTGCAAGTTTTAGACTGACTTTTTTTCAGAAATCTAAAAACGAGTTCAGTATCTTTTTTTTTTTGGCTAATGGTAAGTTTTACCACAGTCCTACTGTAGTAACGTTAAGATAAACGGTATTCATAAAAGTAAAAACAGAATTAAAAGAAGCCAAAAAGAATTCAGAATTGGCTTGACAACCGCATAGCAACATGTTAGCATAGCTTCAGTAATCTAAAAACATGTTCGGTGTCATTTTTTTTGTGTACAGTGGTGGCTAATGCTAAATTTTACCACAGTTTTACTATAGTAACATTAAGGTAAAGGTATTCACAAAACTACAAAAAGCATTGCTACAGTAGTATAGATCATCTAGACTAGCTAATCTGTTACAGTATACATTATCTTGTTTGTTGTTTTAAGATTTTTTGTTTCCACAAAACAGCTAGCCAGTTAGCATAATGCTAATTTAGTTCTCTGTGTGCTAGAAACCCACGTTTATCAACGCCTCACTTACACGCAACACCCTCATGCCACATTAAAGATGCTAATAAAGCCATAATGCACCAGCGTATGGACTACGACTAAATGCTAATTCATCATATATGGATGATGAAATGCTACGCGAGGGCGGATTAGCATACGCCGTGCTGACACAATTACTGCGGTTTAATGAGCCCTGAACTCTAACCCACCAGTCAAACCACTACACCGTGAGCCACCATGTGACACACAGGAGCTAAACTATCTCTGTCTCCGCATCGAGCGCCGCGGCCGAGACAATCGATAGCTATTGATCCGAGATGGAAGGCTGTAAAGAAGGGATACTGTACGGCCACTTTTTAATTGCATCAGAGGTGCAAATGAAGGCATGGGGGAAGATTAAGAGATTATTCAATATTACGCTTGTAACGAACGTGAAATAAAGCGAATTAGTGCAAATTAAGTCATCTTCGCTAGTATCGGTGGCCTTCATGTCAGGGGCAATGACTCAGGGGAAAAAAATGACAGGTGTGTATGAACTGTAGATTTAAAATGCCTTCAGAAGGTATTAAGGATGTGCATAATTATATATATTTTAATATTTCACATTGTTTGTTAGCTTTAATGTAATATATATATATATACATGCTATTTTTCCCGTAAATGTTGACAAAATTAGATTTTACTAGATTTTACTTTGATTTTACAGGAAAACAAACTTAAAATATTGATGGCATCTCAGGGGCGTTTACAAATTTGTGTTCAACATTGATGTATTTTATATAAATATTGTTTTGTTTATACTTTTTTATTTGTATTTGCTTTTATTTGTCTTACTTTAGTTGTATAATTTTCACAATTGTGATCAGGCATCTTGTGATAATATTCAATATAGATAATATATCAGCAGGATACAAAACGGCTTGTCAAGTCATTTTGTATACATTTATGTACAGTATTTATATAAATATGATCTATATATTTTATTTATGCATTTATATTTTGTAGATTTTTTCACTGTTGCGATTGCATCATACTTGAATAGGAAATGCGTCAAAACAGGAAAAAATGTGTTTATAAAGCTTTTTTTAGGTAATATTTTTGTATTTTATTAATAATATTTATATTTAATTTATACACTTATATTTTGTTTTATTTTATTGTGTATCTTTTATCTTATATATTTATTTTATATAAATATTATTTTGATATTTTATTTATACATGCTATACATTTTATTAATACTGTATATTTATACAATACATTTTATATCATAATCAGGCAACTTTTGAGAATTTTGATATGGCCCACCCCAACTTCCTGTTTAAATAGGAAATATGTTAGAACAGAAAAAAAAAATCTTTAAACTGAGGCTTTAAACTAATATTTATATTGTTTATAATTTATATTCTAAATAATTAAGATATTATATTTAAAATTAAT